ATTAGTTACCTATTTCATGATTGAAGTCTATAGTCAAAACACATGTAGACTTATAGAAGAAGAACGACAATCAAAACTATGAAAATTATAGAGAGAAAACACTGTGAATAACGACATTGAAAAAATATTGTCATATTTGTAAATCTTTTTAAAACAAACCCTAATTTGCTATATCAGTTCAGTCGCCTTATTTTTTTTTGATCAAAATGTTAGAGATTTGAATCTGTACCTCTCGTGTTATATTTGGTAAAAAAAATTTAAACTTTTACACAAAAATATGTAAAATAATTAGGGTTGGAATTATTGATATGAAATTAAGTTTTGTAGAAACAATAAATGAAATGAGTGTTGGATACAACAACATACCAAATTGGCAATTAATGCTCATAATTCACTCATATATCACCTAAATTTCATACTTCAAAACTCTCTCCAATTTCAAACCATCAAAAGGTCCAAGGCTAGTTCAGGTTATAGGCCCAATATATTTGGGCCCAACTGATATGCACTCTCGATAAATCTTTACACTAACGGGCCGGCCCAAGTTGTTATTAAAGGCCTGGCCCTTAAACTATCTTTACTTCAAAAGCCCAGCCCAATCCAACTCTTCTTTTACCCACCCATATTCGTAGTTCTTAAAAGTTTAAATGTAAGTTCATAGACAAAAATATAAAATAATATTTTACTAATATAATTTCTAAAAAAAAATCAAGATTTAATAGGCATAGTTTTAAAAATAAAAATAAAAAATTCAACATATTATTTAACTTAAATATTATTTAAATATTAAACCATTTTTTAAAAGAAAATTACGGCTTGGGTTTCAAATGTTTTTACTCAATTATTTTTTTAAGCTTATTAAAAATCTTATTGGAATGATTTTAAAATAATAATAATAATAATAATAAAAACACAACAAAATTATAATTTTTAATAAATTATTAATTCTGTGAAGGGGTGTATCTAGGTCGAGTCGAGTTTGGTTAGATCGAGTTGAGGGTTTTTTTTTTTACCAAACCCAAAAGTTCAAGTTGGTTGGATTGTCAACCCAACCCAACCTTAAAATTTTCACAACCCAATCAAACTCAAGGGTTGAGTTGTCAGATAAAAAAAATTTATTTATTCATAATTTATAATTATTTAAATACTAAAACTATTATTATTATTATTATTATTTCTCCTATGGGAGTGAAAATGAGGACTGTTATGGTATTTCATACAAAACGTGGAACCCAGTACCGAGCCACAGAACTGTCCAAGCCGTTCAGGGCTGACCTAGTTTGATTCGATGCCACGTGTCCTCATATTTTCCCCTTCGTGTCGGCTACTTTCCCAAACATTCCTTTTAAATCGTCAGCTTTTTTCAACGCCGTCAATTAACGCCGTACCTTTTTCCGCGACAGTTTCCGTCAATCTGCTTTCGCATTGGCCAACCCGTTAATTAATTAATCAATTAATTTAATATCCAATTGTCATTCTTGCTTCCATTTTCGTTACTTTTCAAATTCCTTCAACTCTTCTTCTAAAACCCTAGTCTCTCTCTCTCTCTCTCTCTCTGCATCGAGTTGCTTGATTTTTCTTCAGATCTTGGTCACTGCAATCGATCAATCATGGCGGACCACTCTGACAACGTGGAGTCGAAATCGGAGTCATTGATCGACAAGATAGTCGAGAAGATTCATGATCATGATTCTTCTTCGTCCGGATCAGACTCTGAAACCGAGGGATCCTTGAAGGAGAAGGTCTTCCGCCTTTTTGGAAGGGAGAGGCCAGTTCATCATGTCTTCGGCGGTGGAAAACGTACGGAATCTCACCTCTCTGATTTGAACTCATTGAATAATTGTTTTGTTTTTTTCTATTACATTTCCTAAGTTTTACACTGCTTCTATTCGTTTTATTCGACCTTCGTCTTGATTGGTGTTTCTTAGGCTTCTTTTTGCTCTTTGGATTCGTTCTAGCTTGTTTCCCCATTCTCTGCTTGGATTTAGAATATATAAATAATTAGAAATTATAGATCTGCTTGCTTTACCTTACTGTGACTCATTGATAGTTCAGATCGAGTGTACGCTATAATTGAGTGATTCATTGAGCTTCCAGAGCAGAGTATTTATTATATTCATTGATAGTTCAGATCGAGCGTACGCTATAATAGAGTGATTCATTGAGCTTCCAGAACAGATTATTTATTATTTTCTTCCCCGAACTTGTTATATTTGTTCCTTGTCCCGGTTTCGATACTTCTACTTCATTTTTTTCTGCGTTGCACATTTCTGATTTCACATTTGAATATGTTCTGATGACGATACTTGTGTTGCTTATGTCGTATGGTAATTTATTTTTTGTTTGGCGGTTGGTAATGTTGATGACCGTTTCTGGCCCCTGTTGCATATGCAGCTGCTGATTTATTCTTGTGGAGGAATAAGAAGATCTCAGCTGGTGTCCTTACTGGAGCCACTGTTATCTGGGTTTTCTTTGAACTGCTCGAGTGCCATCTGCTTACGTTTGTTTCTCGTTCTCTGATCCTCTCTCTTGGGCTCTTGTTTCTTTGGTCCAATGCCCACACATTTATCTACAAGTGAGTTACTGAATCTCAAATTCCTTTTATCAATAATTAAGTTTCTAGCGACTTCAAATTATGCTCTTCTTTCCACTGTTTAACAAATGTAGTTACAGGAGTCCACCCCGAATCCCAGAAGTTCAACTTCCTGCGGACCCCTTCCTGGAGTTTGCTTCAACTTTGAGGGCGGAAATTAATTGTGGTTTTGCATTATTGCGGGACATTGCTACCGGAAGAGATTTGAAGAAATTCATCACTGTACGTATCTGCTATTGATGCACTCTATTTGTCTTTTTATTGTGTGTATTTTACTTGTTGGGTTTATCTCAACTCTCAAGTAGCAACCGAGCCTGAACAAGTTGCAACTTAATATATATACCTTGATTGGACTACAGATTCGACCATAATACTCAATATGCTAATTTGTAGTCTCAGATATCGAAGTTAGAGTAATTGAATTTTATCTAGATTATAGAAATGTTATGTCTCTGTATCAGGCAATTGCTGGGTTGTGGGTCCTGTCGATCGTGGGAAGCTGGTGCAATTTCTTGACGTTGTTCTACATAAGTAACGACAACTCGAACTCTATCTTCATATTTATAGCCATCTTTTTATCATCCTTTGTTGATTCTGACGTTTGACAACAACTTTGAAAACGCAGACTTTGTTTTGTTGCACACTGTTCCTGTTCTGTATGAGAAGTATGAAGATAAGATCGACCCATTAGCGGAAAAAGCATTAATTGAGTTCAAAAAGCACTACGCCGTGTTTGAAGAAAAGGTTTTGAGCAAGATCCCAAAAGGGCCATTGAAAGGTAAGAAGGCTTAAACTGGGTCTGGTTGGGTGTCTTCTTCCCTCGCAAAAAAGCGGTAACCACATGCTTATGATCTCTTTCTCGTTGTCTTTTGGCTGCACTCATCCATCATAGTATAGTTGTTGTTCAATCACAAGGGTGGTTTTCGCAATTTAGTGGGTTTGTTCTGCAAATGTTGAATTTGTAAGTTATGTTATTAGTTGTATGGGAACTTTCATGAGGGGAAGTACTTTGGTTTGTGGTTAGCTTTAGCTAATTTTGTCTACTTTTTTTCTCTCTCTTTCGTTCCAATTTGGGTGATGCCTTGAGGGAAAGAATTATTAAACTAATTTTAATAATATTCAAACTTTTGAATTGAAATTGTTAGTTTTATCTCAAAAATATTTTGAAATTGATTGGATTGAAATTGTTTGTGAATTAAAAGAATGTTGAATGGAGAGTTTAATTTCCAGTTTGAATCAATCCAAAACTTCTCCATCTTCTTAAGCAACTCTTGTTGTCTAAAACCATTTGTTCCATTTGAAACTCTCCTATCGATCATTCTCTTCAACCTTGTAGGCTACATTTTTCTTGCCTAAAATCATATTTCGAGGTATATATTTATATTTAGGAATATATTTTATATAGCTATAATTAGTTAGAATTTTATATTTGATATGTTTTATTTTATCTTTCGAATTTGACTGTGAAGATTAATGAAAACTGGACTTTAGATCCCATTGGGACAATTGGTAACCGCCTAAGCACACCACTAGCAAATATTGTTCTCTTTGGACTTTTTGTTTCGAGCTTCCCCTCAAGGTTTTTAAAACGCGTTTGCTAGGGAGAGATTTTCACACTCTTATAAAGGAAGTTTCGTTCTCCTCTCCAACTGATGTGAGATCTTACAATCCACCCCCTTCAAGACCCAGCGTCCTCACTAACATTTGTTCTCCTCTCCAACTGACGTGAGATCTCACAATCCACCCCCTTCAAGACCCATTTGTTCTCCTCTCCAACTGATGTGAGATCTCACAATCCACCCCTTTCAAGACTCAGCGTCCTCACTGACATTCGTTCTTTCTCCAATTGATTTTGGGACCCCACCAAATCCACCCCTGATCCTACCTATGTTTCTTAGACTTTCAATCCCTTTTGTATTTTTGTTTCAATCCCTTCTCGACTTTTGATCTCATCCATGTTTCTCGTAATTTCAATTCCACTCTTGTTTCTCATTCTTAACATGGTATCAGAGCATCATTCTTAGCTACATTTTTTTCTTGGACATCTTTACAAGAGTATATATACATATGTATATATATATACTTACTAACTTTTTAGAAAATTTTCATCTTAACTATAAAAAAATTTAGTTTTTATATACATTTTAAAAAAGAATATTAATTTGAAAGAATTTTTACACTAAAATATATATATATATATATATATATATATATATATATAGATATAGATATAGATATTAAGTAAGTAAATGGGGAAAAATTTATTCCAGAATTCTCACTCAAACAGAGATTTGGGCCGCGAGTTAAATAAATCTCTATAAAAAAATTTCTCAATTTTATATTCTTTAAAGAAATTGATAACCATCATAAGTAGGCTTTGGGCTCTTGAATTTGGATGCACAAATAACCGGCCCAACAGCCCAATTCACAGTTTGTATTCAACTATATAAATCTTAGGCTTGTTCCAACCCCATTCCAATCCCGAGAAGTCTAGGGTTTCCTCAATTAGGGTTCCTCTCTCTACCACTCGATGAGATTTTGTTGTAGTTCTTCTAGTTTATCTTCTCCAAAATACTGAAGATTGATGCGATGAAGAACCAAATTGAAGATGAAAAATCATCGATTATAGAGTGGTTACTTAATAATCCCTCTGTAAGATGAATATCTATCTGGTTCGTATTCACTGAGCTTCGTATCTTCTTTATTTTATTTCTTTATTTCCGATCCGAAGGGTCCTATGGATGGGGCGCCATTCTAATTAATGCGCTTTTGCTCCAAGTTTGCCTTCGGAAATCGTAGTGAAAGCAGATCGCCGAGCCAATCTCTGAATAACTGGTTCGGTTTTCGATTTTTTTTCATATAGAAATTTACTTGCGTTTTTTAGTTGGTTGATTCGAGCGAAGGTCCCAGCAGAGGGCAGATAACTCATAGATTGAGTGCTCTCTAACATTTATTTAATTCCTTCGCAGATTAGACTGCCGAATCGTAGGACGCCCAAATTTTATTAGTTTTGGATCGTCTTGAACCCTCGGCCACATTTCTTTTCTTCCTGATTTCACTGTTTTTGAGTTGGTGGATATGTTGATTTTGTTTCGTCTGGAGTAGTTAGGCAGAATCTGTTTTCCGTAACTCCAAATCTGTTTTAGATGTTTCCGAGAGGGCTTCATCATGTTTAGATTAGAAGGGCTCAGCATGTTCAAAGCTCTATTAAATCTCCTATTATCTTCACTATGTGAGCTATCTGAACGAAGTTATCAATATTCCTTTACTTTTTCCCCATTTTAAACAACAAATAATTACTTCACTGAATATCTTACCAAACTATTGCTGATTATGAACTTGCATACCGTTGTCCAGACATTAATGGTTATCAGCACCTTCTTGGTAGCCAATTCTGCGTGCAGGTATTTGGCTCGTTTTACTGAATATCTGCTACAACAACAAATTGAATCGTAGTTCTTCCAAATTGAAACATAAAAGTTCATTAGAGGAGTTGAAAACTGGAATTCGATCTCGGTAAATTTCTTCCCTCGCGGGTGGAAATGAATTAGTTGCAATATAGGAAGGGGGTTGTCGGCCTTCCCCATGCCACAAATTATGAACAAACACATTTATTAAACGAGATCTAGAGCCTTCAACACTCGCACACAATTGGGTTATACCAGAAAGATGAACATGACGGCGGCGGATTTGGTAGCAGCATCAGGAACCACCACAAACCGATGCGGAACCTGATCATTTGCTTCCGAAATCCTGACTTCAATTCTCTGGAACTTGCGAAGCTTTAGTGAGTTTGGTCTTTCTTTAGTGAGATCACTTCAAATCCACCACGTTTTGTGGAGTTATTTCGGTCCAGCACAGAGAAAAATATAATAGTTAAATTTCAAATTTTATAATTTTTTAGTCTTTGATTTTTAATTTTTAAAATTTTATAGTATAAAAACTTCCGTTACCATTCTTCTAATTTTTCTTTTTAATGAACCTTTTGTTTATGTTTTCAAAAACCAAGTCTAATCTGGGAAGCTTTAATTCTATAACCAAAAATAAGATAAAAATTCAATTTCTATGTTAATAAATTGATGATAGAGGAATGGTAAGAGAAAAATCAAATAGGGCTTATAAAGCTCAGTTTGTTATAAACACATGTTCTTAGTTTATAATTGATAATTTCAAATCTTCCAATTTGTTTGTCCAACTAAAAAAATAATTATCCAATTGAATATTTTTTACATTTTATCTTTGTACAAAATAACATCTAATATATTTCTCAACACGACAAGCTAGTTGTAATTTATTTTTAATTTGATATTTTTATAAACTTCAAAATGGAGTGATATAATTTGTAATTCCATAACATTTAAGGACGTTTTTACTAAGAGGAGGTTTTTTTAATTCAACATCTATTTTCCGTTGAGAATTTAAGAGGAAAAAAGAAAGGAAAAAAAAAAAAAACCATTATCAAATGCTAGGTTTTACTAAAAAAGAACTTATTTAAGGAGGTTTAGAGGAAAAACTAAAAGTTATACACTTCATTCACTGAATAATTTTTATTTACTTTCGATTTGATTGAGAAATTCATGCACAAATGAAAGTAACATTCTTGTTTCGAATATTCGAAACAAGATAGTTTTTATTAAAATATCTTATTTCCAATAGAGTAAACTAACATAAAAATACATGGAATCATTTGTTGTACAAAAAATGCAAACCCATTTGATTTCAATCGTTGTCAGAAGGTGGACAAAGAAACTGAAAGATGATCTGATCTTTAATCTTAGGCATTTGCCGCCGCATCAATGGCAACAACAGTTGCTCATTGTTGACAAGTGGGACATGCTTCCCATATCAATGTCTTCGGTCCCCCTCACCCGCCCAAATGCCTTCTGTGGTGGGGAATTCTTCTTCTTTCTATCTTTTCTTTTCTTTTGCCTGACAAACACATTAGCAAGATCACATCCCACATCAGTTGAGGGAGGAGAACGAAGCATTTAAAAGTTTTGAGAGGAAGCTCGAAAAAGACAATATCTGCTATTTTTTGTTCCATCGATCTACATCCTCCACATATAACATAAACAAGCCATATCAAATTCAAGATTAAGGTGCACTGAATTTTGGTGATAACCTATTCGTGTGTCCCCTGGCCATGGGCAAAGACCATAACCAGTAAAGATCAAGAAAGAAAACAACAAAAGGTTGTGAAACCAACGTTGTGAGGTTGATCTTCGTGGCTTTTTTCCTAACACATTTTGTCCATGTGCATGTCCTGTCCTCTCTCACTTCCAACTAGCTTCACGTTACTCTTCTTCCTCTTTCACTCTTTGGACGCAGAAATGGTAGCTCTCCGTCCAGATTCCATGAATTGAAATTAGGATACAGAAAACTGAAACCAGCAATGGAACATCGCATTGTCATTTTATAAATGTCGAAGCACTTATGTAGATATCTGAAGAAACAAGTCAACTGCTTAAATAAGCTAACTTTTCGTTGGTTATATTTCAAATTACAAGAAATACAGGATTTTCCATAACAATCAAAAGACACATGAAAATGCCTCAAATTCCTCAAATTCTTTCATAGGTTAGGAATCACGGATCTAGATCCACGATAGTAAGATATTGTCCACTTTGAGCATAAGCTCTCGTGACTTTGGTTTGTACTTCTCCAACAGGCCTCATATTCCTTATTTATAAACTTATGATTATTCCCTAAATTAGCAAACGTGGGACTCCTTCCAACAATCCTCAACAATAGATACCCTGTTTTTTCTTGAATAATGACTCGTTTCTCTTACTCTATGGTATATGCACACTCAAGGATGCATGAGATACTTTGTTTATAAACAAATTTACGATCCTATCCAAGTCTTTCATCCACACAAGACCAACAGAATATAATTTCTCCATAGAAAATGAAGGGAAAAGGGATATTGCCAGAGAAAAAGAGGACAACCCTTCCAGAAATATGGTATTTATCCTTCCATTGTCCGTTTCTTTTGGTTCTGGACATCATTCCCCTAAAACAAGAACAGAATGAGAAACAGTGAAGTAAAGAACTGGAGCTTAACGAACTGTAAAAGAAAGAAACGTGTAACACACCTATTGACCTTTTGCAGTGAAGTATTGCTTCATAAGTTGAGCTTTCTAGATGACACCAATCAATGGATGAAGAACCAAGAGGGGATTGGTTCTGACTCTGAACATCACAGGAGATATTTTCAGCTGGATCTCCTTTATGGCATATGGGACTGAGACATCCTAAAGTCTTCAGTAACATACGTAACGATCGTCTCCATCTTCCAGAATGACAACATTGGTTTCCTATGGATGGACTAGAAGTTAAAGAAGCAAGTGAAGAACTGTGCTTAACTGGGACAAAATCAGATGTGTTAAGAGGCTCCCAAGCTTGTGTGACTTATATAAACATGTCTGATAGAACCATCAAAGAAGAGTTCATCAGCATGGGCTATGAAAACAGATGGATGGATTGGAGTATTGAATTTGAAGCTCTGGGGTTCATCCAGAAACCTTGAAGGCTTAACAATCTTACAATCCATCATTTTGGATGTGGCATCATAGGACTGCATCATATTCGACAGGCCAACTGGTGGAAAAGCTTTCAACTGCTAGAGATCAGGGGTCGTCCATAAGTTCTTTGCAATTCATGGATGTAAAGGCGATGAAGAAAACAATTATATATATTCTTCGACGACATGACCACATGATCAATACCTCAGCATATTGACTAAACATGATGGCGGTCACAAGTGCATTTTTTTGTCTGTTCCTTTCGGACTTCCCCTCAAGGTTTTTAAAATGGGTCTACTAGGGAGAGGTTTCCACACCTTTATAAAGAATGTTTCGTTCTCCTCCCCAACTGATGTGAGATCTCACAATCCATCCCCCTTCAGGGCCCAACGTCCTCGCTGACACTCGTTCTCTTCTCCAACCGATGTGGGACCCCCCAATCCACCCCCTTTGGGGCCCAATGTCCTCGCGGGCACTCGTTCCCTTCTCCAATCGATGTGGGACCCTTGTTCAGGGCACAACGTCCTTATTGGCACACTGCCTTCAGGGCCCAACGTCCTCGCTGACACTCGTTCTCTTCTCCAACCGATGTGGGACCCTCCAATCCACCCCCTTTGGGGCCCAATGTCCTCGCGGGCACTCGTTCCCTTCTCCAATCGATGTGGGACCCTTGTTCAGGGCACAACGTCCTTATTGGCACACTGCCTCGTGTCTACCCCCTTCGGAGTTCAGTCTCCTTGCTGGCACATCGCTCAGTGTCTAGCTCTGATACCATTTGTAACAGCACAAGCCGACCGCTAGCAGATATTATCTTCTTTGTGTTTTCCCTTTTGAACTTCCCCTCAAGATTTTTAAAAAGGCTAGGGAAAGGTTTTCACACCCTTATAAAGAATGATTTGTTCTCCTCCCAACTGATGTGAGATCTATAACACTACAAAGAGGTGAAGAAGTGGATCTTTCACAGAATGAGGTTTTCAATCTAAATAAGCTGAAAATTGTGCAAGTCAAAAGTTCCGGATCTAGCATGACCTGATCCTGGAAGATTAGACCATTTATAGAGATGAATGCAGAATACTGGAATGTCGATAGTTTCCCATTGTAGCAAATGAAACTTCAAACGTTGTTTTCCGCAAGGATCATGATACATGATTTTATTCAATGCTCGACGCGATCATCATACAAAGCAAGAACGTGATTCAAAGAGGAAAACAAAGCCCCAAATTCAGGCATACTCAGGCAAATGTCCGATTGTCATTCATGTGCTAATACTGCTAACGCCTAACCTCAATCGATCAAGCAGTCGTAACTAATCATGCAAAGATACGAATTCCAATTCTAAAGCTCCCATCAGAATCAACAATTATACACCAAATTCAACTTTCCGAGTAACTTTCAGCGCATCATGAGCATAATATATTGTTAAATAAAAGCTCTGCCTTATTTAGTTAGGTCTGTAAAAACATATGAGTTCACGCGAATGGAGGAGCGTGATTCTAGGGGCCATTGTTTTGGCAGAGTGGCGGAGTCTTCGTCCACTTATTCTATTTTTGTATATTTGGTTTTTCCATTTTTGTAATTAGATTTATTATTTAAACCATTCAACGGATGTAAAATAAATATCGAGTCTTCAGCATTACCAGCGAATCTCTCTCTCTCCTTTTACTTCCGCTAATTTTTCCTTCGAAGAAACCTTCTGCCAATTTTTTCGTCGACATCCGATTTGCCAGAGTCAACAAGTGGTATCAGAGCCTCGTTGAAGCGATCGGTAGTATACCATCACAAAAGAGCCAACCTATCAACAACCAAGTTGAATAGCTCAAGTGGTTAGAGCGTCGACCTAATAACACACAGGTCTTAGGTTCGAGTAGAAGAAAATGCAAAGCGCAAAAATAAATACATCGTGGGGCCCATCTCAAGCAGGCTCGCTCACTCCTCCACGCCGTCAAGTGCTGGCATCTCCATCACCACCACGAAGAGGCCGTGGCCGACATCGTGATGACGGGCGTCGAGTAGTTGTTGAGCGAGTGATCAGAGAGACAACGACCGCCGTCGTTCAGTACCCGATGTTGACAAGGTCCAACTACAACGAGTGGGCCTTGTTGATGCGCGTTAACCTACAGGCGCAAGGGTTATGGCACGCTGTCGAGCCAGAGGAAGGAGAAACAATTGAGTACCGGGAGGATCGGCTGGCGTTCGCCGCCATAT